GCCCCTTATTGATATGGCAGTTTCTGCAGACTGCAATGTATTTTTGAAGATCTTCAAAAATCTATCAAAATAAAAAGACCTTGAAATCGAAATCTTAAAAATGTGGCACATGGGAACATCAAGGATCCCCGTTGTAGTTGGAGCCCTCGGTTTGGTTGGAAAAGATTCCAGTAGACTAATTGAAGGGATTCCTGGAAGTCTATGCCTTAAAGAAATACAAAAACAATTGTTCTCACCAGTACAGCCCACACCTTACGACGGGCTTTATCTATGTAATTTTTTTTTTTTAGTTGGTCAGTGGATAATGCCATGATGCCATTTCTAACCTTAGGTCTCTTGGAGGGAATGTGTACACATCAGAAATCAAAGGAAATAATAATAATAATAATAATAATGTCCACATACAAGGACCTGGAGATCAAGATTAACTGTATGTGGGGAATGAAGACTGAGACTGTACTATTAGTAATCGGAGCACTGGGCCTCGTGAGAAAAGGAATGAACAATTTGATTAACAGTTTCTCAGGTAACATCAATATACAAGTTGCCCAGACGATCGCCTTACAAAGAACATGCCATATACTAAGAAAAGTGCTATCATTTAAATGACCATTCTCTTATAGGGCCTAAGGACCATTATTCATACTCGGCTGTACAGGATACAAACCAGGAAACATAACATACACAAATAATAATAATAATAATAATTTTCCCAGTATTCACCGCCGTCAGTAGCCGATAATGAGTAAGTGAAGCTCATGGTGGATACAAGTATTTTCACCGATAAACGATTGGAGAACACTCACTCTGATATCCCACTTGTGCATAAGGACAGTCATTAATAGATATTGATAGATGTTGCAGTAACATGGGAGAAGAAAACCGTGAAAGAAGAGTGGGCGAAAATACAAAGGTACCAAAAACCTGTCAGGGAAAATATGAGAAGTGTACCAAACAGCAGCTCAAGTTGTTCCTTTTGTGATTGGCGCACTCTCAGAGCGTTTTCTTGAATCTTCCTGCTTTGCAAGACGCCTTTAGTATACTTGGCACCATTAGAAGTTTGCAGGTGTCAGCTCTACTTGGAACTTGATTCTTCTTTAGATTTTATCAAGGAGCTCAAGGTAAATAGCAGGGGCACCGGACCATATGTGGCAGCAATATTCTAAGCATGGACGAATGGTAAACTTATAAATATGTGTGATAGATTATGGAGGGGAAATTGTCTTGCACAACATAGTCAACTAACTTGATCCGAACCGTATATAAATTAGATATAAGACTGAAAGAAAGGAATTTCGTTAGACTTTAAGCAAAATTGCGTAAATCTATATAATAAATGCGAATGTCAGTGTGTCACTGTGTCATATTTAGTCGTAGAGGCCGACTCCGTGAGCAAATTAAAAATATTCCGGGCCTGATCCTGAAATTTTGGATTCCCAAGTTTTCATTACTGCAAATGTTTTCGGATTCCGTCGTCTTGGCTTCTATTGATAAAAAACAATTAAAGGGACATAATTCTCTAACTTTCAATAGCTCATGTTTAAATGAAAAAATGCTGTTCTCAAATTACAGTTTCAAGATAAAATTGTCTGTGTTTTCAACTTTACTCCTATAGGCCGTAGGCCAACATATCATACCATTTTGGAATCAGACCGACTCCGTGAGCAAATTAAAACCATTCCGGGACGGATCCGACGAATTTTTTGTACGATAACAATTTTTATAACTTGGAAATAAATTTGGGAATAATTGAAATGACATACGAATTCCAGCGAAAGTCAAATAATTGTTAGTACGGAAAGTAAGGACCTACGTACATCAAATTGTCTTTAAATTAAGCGGAGGTAGAAGAATTATCGTTGAACGTTTAAAAGGTAAGCTTAAATATTAATACAATACTCAAATGCAGTGATCAATTTTGAGTTCTTCTGTAGTTTAGTGTTGACTATTGCAACTACTCCTCCCTGACTGTTTTGATGAAGGCCCAATCAAGAGCCCTTCTGTTACAGTCATTTCTGGTTAATCTCTATAAAGTAATTGAGCACGATTCAAGTCTTATCTCTTGTAAATAAGTATTGAATACTTCCTATCTGAAACAATGTTTGCACACATTATCAGTCTATGACTTTGTGTCTTTTTTTTACTTTTTTAATTCCTAAGCTTTCATCTATATAACAAATGCGATTGTCAGTGTGTCACTCTCCCACTTTTTCAACTTTACTCCTAGAGTCCATAACCCAACATATTTTACAATTTTGGAATCAGGTCAACTCTGTGAGCAAATTAAAAAACCTTCCCGACCGGATCTGGACCCACAATCTTGAAATTTTGGATTCAAAAGTTTTCATTACTGCGATAGGTTTTGGTGATTTTTACGTGTGTTTTTGCCACAATTTTTCTTGTACGGTAACAGTTTTCATAACTTGGAAATAAATTTGGTAATAATTGAAATTAATTGCGAATCCAGCGAAAGTCACCGATGAAATAAAAATAATTGTTTGTATGGAATGTAAGGACCTACGTAAATCAAAAGGTCTTTAAATTAAGTGACGGCAGAAGAATTATCGTTGAACTTTTAAAAGGAAAGCTTAGATATTAACGCTATACTTAAATGCAGTGATCAATTTTGAGTTTTGTAGTTTATTGTTTTCTATCACATCTACTCCTCCGTACATTTTGTGATGAAGGCCCAATTAAGAGCTCTCTGCAGGAGCTAGTTGAAATGTCGACCAATAGGGCGGCTTTTAAACTAGTTTATACATAAATTGTCTCATGTCAGAATTAAAATTAATATACCTGTCCTTTTTTTAAGACGATTTCCTTTATCACTACAGCCGTTATCAAGAATTGCGTAGTTAGTATTAAAATGTGTTTGTCTAATTCCAGCATTCACTTGTTTGCTGTAACTAATTTCAAATGCCGTGACATCATTTTCAACGCTCAAACTATATATGTATAACGTATTCAATTCTCTCTCTCTCTCTCTCTCTCTCTCTATATATATATATATATATATATATATATATATATATATATGGACATTGAGGTCATTACCCAGTATCGTCAACTGTCTTTTTCATGCTTAAACGAAATCTTCAGACCATGTGTTGCATTTTGGATCGATTATTTATATATGCTGTTCCGTAGTACATTATGGGTGGGCCGATTGCATTATGTTAGCGGTTATTGTGTGAGCGGTAACAGCTATGTTTCCAATTATTTTAGGGGCTATTGAGTGGAAATAATTGTAACCGGTATTTCAACGTGATATGGCCGTAGGCGAGACATACATACAGAGAAACAGAAAGAGAGATAGATAGATAGATAGATAGATAGAGAGAGAGAGAGAGAGAGAGAGAGAGCGAGGGAGAGAGAGAGTGATAAAGAGAGAAGGACAGAATAGATTACAAATACATGAATATAGAGTTATTATAAAATACACGACGAAATATCGAAATTGAAGCTAATAAAGGATTATAAAATGAACAAAGATGTGGGGAGGAGCAGAATGAAATCGATTACGAGTGAAAGAAAAAACAGAGAAGGAGAGAGAGAGAGAAAGAGAGAGAGACAGGGAGGAAGAGAGAACGAAAGCGTGTGTGTGTGTGCGTATGTGTGTAAGAGAGAGAGAGAGAGAGAGAGAGAGAGAGAGAGAGAGAAAAGAGACAAAGAATAAGAGAAAGACGCAGAGGTAGAGTAAAAAAGAAAACGAAAATGTAGAAAGTAATGAAAGAGAAAAACAAGCGGAGAGAAAATAGGTAGATAGATATGAAAAGATTGATATATATATATATATATATATATATATATATATATATAAGGCAGGATGTGTGTGTGTGTGTGTAACGAATGCACGGCCGCAATTTTCGATGGATTTGCACCAAAATTTACATGCACATGCTCCAAGTTAGCGGAAAGGCCAAGACCGACTTTGAATTTCCCAACTCCAATCGATAGCGGAAATAATCGATTTTTTCATGCTTCTACGGCAGTTTTCATGTAGTTTGCGGCCATTTTTTACTGGCCAGAGTGAGAACCAATAGCTGGCTGCCACGAATAGGCAGGAAGATTCTATTGGCCAGCGTGAGAGCCAACAGCTGACTGACACGAATGTTAACTAGCATGCTAGCATGCAAAAAGAAATCGATAGCTGCATTCGTCACAAGTGGGAAAAATTTAAATCTGCATGGCACTTTACTCCAATTGGCTCATTCGCTTGATTAAACTCAACGTTGATTCTGATTCCGCAAAACTGGGTTGGGTGTGAAAAAGTATTTGTTGTTAACATTCTTTTTTCATTCGGTTTTTCTAGTTACGAGTGCTTTTTTTAAAGCTGATCGTTTTGTGTTCATTTTGTTTAGTTCTTTTTTCGTAACAGATTTAATGTTTAGTACAGAGCTTAGAAAAAATTCGCAGTGTGAGATAGGCAAGAAGTAAGGCATGTGGCAACATCAGCACGGCAAAGGGCACTCCTTTAAAGGCAAGGAAGGGTAAAAATATTTTGTCAAGTGATAGCGATTGCTGTATGAGTTTAACGATTTTTTAATCAATCACGGGCAACGCCGGGCCATGCTGCTAGTATATATATATATATATATATACCAAATGAAAAAGAACGAAGAGTAAGATATCCGAGTTCAAAACATTAATTTTAAACAGGGTTCAATACAAAAGAAGAACAATAAATATTTATTTATTATGCAATGTTACATTAGAACATGCACATACCTACTACAAACTGTGATTTCCCACCTGATGAAACGCCTAAAAATTTTTAATGTTGAAACAAGATGTTCAGTTTTGTAGTGGCTATGTACATGTTCTAATGTAACACTACATATATATATATATATATATATATATATATATATATATATATATATATATTTAAAAATATATGATATATATATATGAAGAGACAGATATATATGAAGAGACTGAAATATATATATATATATATATATATATATATATATAAACAGGCTGAGATAGATAGATAGCTAGATAGATAGATAGACCGAGAGAGGAAGACACATAAATTCATGCATGAATGCAGACAGACAGGCAGACAAAGAGTAATTAGAAATATGAAATAAGAGAGAGAGTAGAGAGAGGGAGAGAGAGAGAGTAGAGAGAGAGAGAGAGAGAAGAGAGAGAAACATACAGGCAGTAAGCAGTGGAAAAAAAAGGAAGAGAAATACATGAAGATAGCGACAGATTAATGGAGACAACGAAAAAATTGAAAAAAAAAATGAGAAGAAGAAGCAGAAATGATTAAAGCAGTCGAGATAGAAAAGGTAAGGGTGGGAGAATGAGAGAGGAAGAGAGAAATTAGGAAAGGTAGCATGAATATCCGTCCATAAAAAAAGAAAGAAAGAATGATAGATAGATAGATAGATAGATAAAGAGAGAGAGTGAGAGAGAGAGAGAGAGTGAGAGAGAGAGTGAGATAGAAAGAGATAGAGAGATAGGGGGAATGATTGTGGAAGACAGAAAATGTCTGAAGCCGAGATATCGCAGCTGAGAAATGCACTTCAGCAGACATATTATTAAGTCGTTATTTTAATAGTCTCCGTCCTAGCGATTTGCTTCGTTTGGTTTTTATTCTTGAATATTTTTTATCACCAAAGTACATTGGCAGCCATTTTTTTTTCAGGTTAGTCTTCGTGATCATACAGTCTGTTTCTTCATAAGCTCAGACGCACACAGGTGTGTCTGTATATCTGTATGTATGTGTATTGCAATCAAAGAAACTTTCATTGTGTTCATATAAAACTTTTTAAAACTTTGCAGAATTACTACAGAAGCTGATAATAGTTGTAAAATCTAAATTTTCTAAAAGTTACTTCCCGAAATATGTACTTTTCTATTAAGTTCTTTGTCACTTTTTCTAATCAAATTAATTGCTATAATGAGTAAAGAAATCAAAATAATCAGCGAGTGAGCTAACTCTTATCGGCATTGGGTTTGGCGTGTTCAAACCTCAGCCTAGTTTGTTCGAGTAAATTCGTACAAATGCCCTTCGTTTCTTGTCCTTACTCAGCTAAGGGTTTCAAAAGCCCGACTATACTGGGGAAACCTCTTGTTTTGGATGAGCCCAGGAGAAGTGGGTTACTGTGAATACGAAAACTGTGGAGAAGTCAACGGAAAACCACAGTATTCTCTTTCCTAAGACATTCACGGATAATAAATAAAAGGAAGCTGTAAAGAACCACGATCGTTTGCGTTTTGAAGCGACATGAAATTTAAAAATATGGAAGTAAAAAACAACCCCCCGAAAAAAAAACTGATATTACAACGAAATCTACTGAATTTGAAAGAGAAAAGATGGAAGTTATTTTCTGTTTCACCCAAGTTTTAGCAGGTGATGATTTTTTTTTACAGTGAGGTTCACTCTGTACAAGGCCAGGGAGCCACTCGAGGTAGAGGATTACAGAGCAAGAGGCGCCATCTTGAGCAAGGAGACAATGCCACCAAGATACAAAGTGTCACCGGAAATGAAAGCGAACGAAAAAGCGTTGAAAGGAACCGGAAGCCCAATTCTAAACAGGAAACAAGAGATAATGCTATTATATGAAGTATTTTTTTTTTTTTTTACAGTGAAGTTCACCCTCTACAAGACCCGGAATCAGTCAAGGTAGAGTGTTAAAAATAAGAGGAAGTTTAAGCCGAAAGGATGGAAAGATAACGGTTCACACTTGACTTGAAAAAGTTAAGATCGTAATAATCGGAGACATATCCTCTTGGGAGTCGGTTCAATAGAGCAGTGGTTCGCCGGAAGTAGCTGTTTGAGTCGAACGTACTTCCTCACTAATGGAGTACGGAGAGAGTGAGAGTGGCTTATTACAATGTGAGTGACATGCTCGTGAAGGTTAGAAGTGGCGGGACCAAAGAATGCAGTTCGTCCGAGCACTTTCCATGGAAGTAGCGACAGACTGGTGAAAGGCTTGCCACATCCCGTCGGTGAGTGAAAGGTGGGAGGGTCTAAACTAATTTGTCACAGAGACGTCGAGACTGGAAAGTGAGGATTGGGCAGCTCCCGCCAAAATATGACTACAGAAAAAAAAGTCCCCCCCCCAAAAAAAAGAAAAGAAAAATAAGGAGTTTGTCTAGGAAATTAAGAAGCGTAGAACGTAAGTATTAGAGTTGTGCCGATAATAAATAGATCACTCGGAATTATTTCCGAAAATACCAAACGCAAGACGGGCGTAAGTGGTGTGTAGGAGGAATTGGTAACTGAACAGGACTGGCGCTTTCGCTGGCAAAATTATTGAAGCAGACGGAAACAAAACAGAAACAGAGATAAGGAGAAATGTATTTACTTTATTTTCATTCGGACTAATAATCTTCATCCTTGATGCTGTTCTCACAATGTTTCGACAGTTTTAAGCTGCGAGTAACCTACAGAACTTTGAACTAAAACTTTTATTTCATCTACTGGGTAAGATGGTTCTCTTTCCGTTCTCCATATTTAAGAATATCTCTTATTGATATTTTTTAGTACAGTTCAGTTATTGCTCGTCTTGTTTTCACTGAGTCTAAATCTGTACTACTTGATCTAAGGTTTGATTTCACAGTTACTCTGCCTGTAAATTCACGAACCGAAATTTTAACCCACTCAGCTTTTATCCCTTGAAACAATCCTAGAACTACTACTTTGAACCTTAAACCTATTGTTTTTATACCAACATGTTGATGCTGTTGTTGTTGCTGGAGCAGTTGCTGTCACACTTAACCGCCTTTGCTGCCACTTCGCTTTTCATACTGCTGTCGATGCTGCCGAAGCCTTACTGTCTTTCTCTTACTTTTTTATTTATTTATTAATGACTCCAATATGGTATTTATTTCTATGCTAGGTCTACTGAGGCGGTCGTGATAACCGAGCATATTGCGCAAATTCCTTCAGACATTTAATTCTCCAGTGTTCAACTGAGAGAGAAATATAAAAGCCCAATGAAATGAAAGATCGACCTGCTTATTGCAGAAATATAATTATGGGAACAGTATTAACAATTTTATTTCTCAATAAATCAATTTAAACCTACAGACACGCATCTCTCTCTCTCTCTCTCTCTCTATATATATATATATATATATATATGTGCATGTTTCATTAAATAATATGGACAAGTTTTGCCTGTTTATTTTAAGCAAGCTGATAAGCTTACAAACATTACCATTAAAAGACGAAAGAAAATCACCATATTGATCCTATCTAAGCTTTCGGCTTACATAAGCCATCATCAGAGATGACACGTACATTACAATAAATTAAACAATGCAGGGACATAGCAACAATGATAGTCTGTTTTGTTTGCATGGAAGATTTCCAAGCAAGAACCTCGTGCATACGAGCCGCTGGAAGCGAAAATCACACCGCGGCCCATGACATCAAACATGACCACGCGAGAGTGAAAACGAGAAGTGTTAAAGTATGGGAAGCCAAACATGCATTAATGAAAAAATGCCGCCTAAATACACACACACACACACACACACACACACACACACACACACACACACAATATATATATATATATATATATATATATATATATATATATATATATATATAAGACATTTTATGTTTATACATTCTTTTATAGATACAAATATTTAAGTAAATGCTCTGTATATAATAAACAGTATTAAACAACATTTACCGGCCTGAATGTCCGAGAAATTTTCACAGAAAATATTCGTCCTGTGAAAATTTCTCGGACATTCAGGCTGGTAAATGTTGTTTAATACTGTATATTATAAACAGAGCATATACTTAAATATTTGTATCTATAAAAAGAATGTATAAACATAAAAATGGCTTAAAATAATTGTCGGACTTTGTGCATTTTATTATATATATATATATATATATATATATATATATATATATACCGTAATTCTCCATGTATAATACGCAATTTTTTCTAAATATAATAAGTAAAATTGGGGGGATGTATTATGCACAGGTACAAAAATTGTTTAAATTTTGCCGTTTCATAGATCGATTTCAGTTACGAATGACTACTCAAACGTACGACAGTTTGACCCTAACATTCGGCGATTGCGACCCCATAAGGATGTCAAATACAAACATATATACCTAACAATACTTACAACTGTAAGATAAAATGAGAATTATCTTAAAACTAAATTCGAATAATTTTATTTTATGTTTAAAACCATTTTAATAAGATTAGGAATCGCTGGCCTTAATGAAATTTGAGAGGTACAATTTATAGGGTTTGATTACCAAATAAGGGGTTCGTATTATGCTTGAGTAGAAGCATTTTCCCATCCAACTCGGAGAAGAATAATTGTTATGTAAAACATGCTGCTTCAGAGCGTACAATTATATCGATTGTTTTTGCTTTTTAGGTATATTCTGTTCTTGCTTCGAGATTAGTATCAACTGGGATTCTCTTCTTTGAAAATTTATGCGTAGACATTGTTTGATATCGTAAATCAAAATTGAGTCTTCAATTGATATTTTGCGATGGCCTTACTAGAGAACGTGTTGATAGCTATCATATAGCTCTCTCTCTCTCTCTCTCTATATATATATATATATATATATATATATATATATTATGAAATGGACAAAGTTCGACAGTTATTTTAAGACATTTTTATGTTAATACATTCTTTTTATAGATACAAATATTTAAGTAAATGCTCTGTTTATAATAAACAGTATTAATAACATTTACTGGCCTGAATGTCCGAGAAATTGTCATAGAAAATATGCGTCCTCCGACAGGAATCAAACCTGTATCCTATACTGAACCATCATATAGCCTGATGTGCTTTTTTACCGATTGAGCCTCAGAGGATCGTTCGATTAGCAAGGTCGATTTTACTGTTTTTAAACTACAATCTTGCATGATTCTCTCACGCACATTCATATCTGCTCGAAGCGTATCCAAATGTAAACAAATGACGTCACACATTATGAAATGGACAATTATTTTAAGACATTTTTATGTTTATACATTCTTCTTATAGATACAAATATTTAAGTAAAAAAGAATGTATAAACGTAAAAATGTCTTAATATATATATATATATATATGTATATGTATGTATGTATATATATGTGTGTATGTATGTTGAAAATAAATTAACTGCATCGTTTAAAACCTAAAATAGACAAATGCAAAATGATTTTAATTAGCCAATCAAATCATAAATAGAATTAATGTTTCTTATTAGGTGAGCCACGATTTTTAATCGAAATTTGCATTCGTTCAACTAACAAGAGTATTATAGCGTATTTTATGTTTTATCGAATTTCACTGAAATCATTAAATTTTGAAGCGTTTCCGGTTTTCTGTTTTAAATCGCATTTTTAATATGGAACATCTAGATGAATGATATCAAGGATATTTGCTGCCCAAATGAACGGATCCGTTCCCACAAGGCGTCGATTTTCTACCCAAAAAGTCATTGACGACACTCGACTAATGTGTATTTTCACCATTCTGGTGAATGACGATTTTTTTAAGCGTAGCTTAGATGTAGTACAAGACCGAAAGTACGAGGCGCTAGTTAAGGATTGAACTCACTTCTCAGTCGTATTTTTTTTGTTTCTTTGTTAACTAGCTAATAATCAATATAAAAAGTTACTATTTCTACTGAATGATCGTTGTTTACAAATCATATCCGGAGAACTGTAGTAAAAAAAAAAAAAAAAAAGATTTATTCAATATATTCAAATAGCTTTCACCTGTTTTCATCTATGTGACAATTACATGTACATGATGACTGTCAACTCGTTGTAACGAGTATGACCATTGCCGGCAAGTTAGATACATGATTTTAATTCTCGTGAGAACGACAATGGCTCTTTAAGACAGCAGGCAGGCAAGTGTCTTTCAATGTTTGTTGTAAACGCTGTGCACTTAGCTTGCTCTTTACAGGTTTTGTCTTGTTCTGAAAAATTCTGTTCAGTTTGCTATGGAGATCGAACCTGTTTCGGCAGGTCTTCTTACGCCCTCGGTATCTTAAATTATTCCTAGCATATCGTAATTTATCAAAGGTCTACCAATATGACCTTTCTTGTAGCTAACGAGTTCATCATCGGAGATACACACGCTGTCACATTTCATCACATGGATTGTTGATCAATTATTTCTTCTTTTATGGATGCACACGTGACATTTGCCCAACTCGTTGGATGTTCTTGGATAGTTGTAGCGCCATCATGAATTGTACGCCCCCCCACTTATTGCGATTACAAGTAGCAGTCTCCCACTGAACATCTATATGGCAAGTTCCTTGTGCAGAATATCCTCAAGTCTTTCACGACATATGCTAATAGCAATGGCTACATGATTTATAGTGAATCCCCTGTTTTCCTATATAGTGGCAGTTGCAGAACGTCCGGACCTGGGGTCATCTTCAATATTCTCTGTTGTAACATAGGGAAGGTTACTGAATAGAATAATCACATGAAGGTTGGTAATGAACAATAATACTTAGGACAAGAACAACACATATAAGATTCGCCAGCGACGCGTAGAAGTAGTAGTCAACTGCTAGAAGTGAGGCAAGTGAATTCCACAATGAATCTCCAACTGCAGGATATCTACCAACTACCCCATGCGGTCAGATGTGGCACAAGGCCGAATTTAATGTCGAGTATCCGAGCCCGTAGGTGTGGCCAAAAATTCCCCGTAGACCCCGTATAAAACGGGGTCGGGTAGCTGTTTCCCGAGACGAGACTCTGCCCTTTGACATAACATCGTCTGGGGATCCGGGCAGAGAGTTTGAACAGCACAGCTGGAGACGAATCTCCAACTCTAGACCAACATACAGTATTTACTACTGCATTTATGTGAATCGGTTATGCTACAACACTTCCCTTCCCCTCATAAATTCACTGGCTAACTTTTGCACTGTTGCACACTTTTGATTTTTAGATAATAATGATTTTAGTGATACAAGTTTTACTATTTAACCCATAGCTGGAGAAAAAGAGGTGGATTCATACATTCATACAAGAGTAAAGTGAATATAACGTACCCAGCTAGGATTGGGATTCGGTTTTCCAGTTAACAAATCCGAGCCATTATTTATTGCACCACTCGCACATAGAATAGAACTTACCGCTATACGTAATAGTGAGAAAGAAAGGGAGAAAGAGAGAGGGAGAGAGGGAGAGAGAAAGGGAGAGAGAAAGGGAGAAAGAGAGAGGGAGAGAGAAAGAAAGAGAGAGATGGGAGAAAGAGAGAGAGGGAGAAAGAGAGAGGGAGAAAGAGAGATGGAGAGAGAGGGAGCCTAAATGAAATTATGAAAGTTGGAGGGTTATTTCTTAATGTAGCCACTATGTTAGCATGAATGTTCTTTGGGGCTAAACTCTTTTCTGCGGGTCCTTGATAACACAACGATGCCATGTTTTGTCCATTTTCAAAAGAAGTGTCTACTTTCTACTTTACATTTGAAGGCTTCTTTGAACGGTCAGATGTCAGTTTACCTAGAAAGAAACAATGCCGTTATTAATTCATGCATACAAAGTTTCACAACTCTAGCATCACTCCTTCATACTTAGCCAATAACTTTTCAGCCAAACCTAATATTTGGGAAAATATTGGGTCTTTAAGAAAATGGTAAAAATCGGGTCTTTCTAGAAAATCCCGGAAAAATGCAGTTAAAATGAAGAGGAAAAATCCCAGACGCCTTATTAGCAAAAGTAAAAAGTTTTCTTCTTTCCGAGAAAAAACGAGAAGTTTTCAAACGACCCTGTTATTCAGGTAAATTCAGTACTACCCACTTCAAACGTTATTAATGATCTCTTTTGAGAGTTTGCAGATTGTATATCCAATGCGGAACACGCACAAAGTTCGTAGTTTGCAAATCTCTTCCTTGTCTCGGCGGCTTTTGTGTCACTTCGTAGCTAATAATCAATATAACAAGTTACTATTTCTATAGACTTTATTTAAAGCGAGACATCACAGGGAGGATTTATTAAACAAATATGTCAGAACTTTCAATCTAATTACCTATAACACGGCACAGGTCATCTTGTCGTACGGTAATAAAGAGAAGAGAGAGAGAGGGAGAGAGAGAGGGAGAGAGAGAGGGAGAGAGAGAGTGAGAAAGAAAGGGAGAGAGAGGGAGAGAGGGAGAGAGAAAGGGAGAGAGAAAGAGAGAGAGGGAGAAAGAGAGAGGGAGAGAGAAAGAAAGAGAGAGATGGAAGAAAGAGAGAGAGGAGGAGAAAGAGAGAGGGAGAAAGAGAGATGGGGAGAGAGGGAGAAAGAGAGAGAGAGGGAGAGAGGGGGAAAGAGAGAAAGAGGGAGATGGAAAGAGAGAGAGAGAGAGAGAGGGAGGGGGAAAGAGAGAAAGAGGCAGATGGAAAGAGAGAGAGAGAGTTATTCTTGAACGCTATTTTTCGGCTTAGTGAGTTGGATTCGCACTTGGAAATTCGACATTGCGCCTAAAGTTCGTATTATAATTTTTTTTCTTTTTTAATCATTGTACCCCAAGCAAGGCGATAAAGCCACTAAGACTCAAGGGGTTACTGAGTGACAAAGAAACCAAGAGGGGGACAATAAAAGAACAGAATTCAAGATGACGATTGACGTTGCATTTAGATTGCTGAAGATCATAGATGACAGGAATGCAAGAAACCGGAAAAGAGTGCCACAAGCGAGAAGTGCGGAAGAAGAAACTGTCAGAATAGAACTTACGGTTGGTTGGTTTTGTTTAGCGGCATAACAATCTCCATGTGTTATTTAATGCCGAAATCTAAATATTTTATACGCAATTTTATTATTTTTATTTTTGGATGATAATGGTGTTAGTAATATGAGTGTACGCGCTCGGGTCCCCACATTAATCCGACCTTGTGTCACATCTCATTCTCGTGGGGGAATGGGTAAATACCAGTGATACAAGTCTTACTATTTAACCCGTATCTGGGGAAGAACAGTTGGATTCATACATTTCCCAAGGGTAAAGTGAATATAACCAACCCAGCGGGAATTGGAACTCGGGTTTGCGATTAACGATTTCGAGCTATTATTGCACCCCCCGCACAGGGAAAAGATCTTAAAGTTACATATAATAATTGCGTAAGCCAAATTATGAGACTTATCTCTCAATCTGGTACTGCTTTTAAATTCATGAAATCGACGTTTCTTGATTTCAGATGAAAACATGGATAATTTTTAGTATATTTCGATTAAATTTTGGCTTTCCAAAACTATAGTATATCATTATTGTTTAGATATATGGGGAAAATTGACAGTTTAAACTTAGACGTATTCTTTCCTTATATATGCCGTGATTATTTTAATTAAAGTTTCTGATAAAATTTTCCAAATTATTTCTGTGAAATTTTTCGGTTTCCAAAGTTTAGTTTACGATCATAGTTTATATATATGGGAAGAAATGTCTCAGATTAAACTGACACCAGAAGAATATGGGTTAATTGAGTGTATGTACAGGAATCCTTTAAGTAAACATAAATGATGGCAATTATAGTGGAACGTGATAAATAAAAAATAAGCATCTAACATCTTAAGGGATTCTAGATGAATATTTTGGTTGACGACAAATATCCTAAAAGTACGCAAACAGAATTCGGACCAACATTTTTAGTTTCCAACAATTCGAAACATCATTTTTATTTTATAACAATTCTGAACAACATTTTTAGTTTCCACAATTCGAAACAAAATTTTTAGTTTCCAACAATTCGAAACATCATTTTTACTTTCCAACTATTCAGAAGAACGTTTTTAGTTTCTAACAATTCCGAGCAACATTTTTAGTTTCTAACAATTTAGAACAACATTTTTAGTTTCTAACAATCCCAATACTGAATGAGAAAATCAATATCAATTTTGATTTGGGGACAACATTTTTAGTTTCCCAATTCGAAATAACATTTTTACTTTCTAACTCTTCGGAAGAACGTTTTTAGTTTCCAACAATTCCAAACGTCATTTTTAGTTTCTAGCAATTTAGAACAACATTTTTAGTTTCCACAATTCGAAACAACATTTTTAGTTTCCAACTTTTCAGAAGAACGTTTTTATTTCCTAACAATACCAATATTAAATGAGAAAAACAATACCAATTTTGAATTTAGAACATTTTGAGTTTCCAACAATACCTGGATTGAATGAGAAAAAATACAAATTTTGATTTCGAAACAACATTTTTAGTTTTCAACAATTCGGAGCAACATTTGTAGAACCGAACACTACCAGGATTGAATGAATAAACGAAATATATACAATAAATAGTAATGTTAAAGTTATATAAACAATCAAACAACAACAAAAAAGAAAACAAAAAAAAAATACTATACAAAAGGGTATCAACAAAAATGTATGACGATTCTTGAACGTGTTACCATTTATATGTGTTGATATAAGCGTTGTGTTCTTTATTGATTCTTCTCCGTGGTTTCTTTCAACGTCAGACTAAAAGATAATGAACAAGACGAGGGAGTCAGTGTTGCCCGATGCCGTTTGCGATTGGGAGACCTAACGAATAAATTAATCACGTAAATTTTCAACTTGGTACTCAGCATGACTCATTCCATTTTGTAACGGATCTTCAACCTTGACCTTTCCGATAAAGACTCTTAGCATTCATTGATTTTCCGAATGGTATCAACGATAAAAAAAAAAAAAGGATCAAGGTGTCGGCGTCGCAACGTTTGCGAGACTATATTTTCCTCTACCCTCAAAGAAAATGAAAGAACCGAGGACAATTGAAACCCAATGATTAATCCGCTTACAGGGAAATATAAGTTTTTTTTTTATTATTGAAGAACTGTATTAATCAGTTTCTTCCTCAATAAATAGATAAATTAAAAAAAGTTCTTTATGCATTCTGAAACATACATATATATAGGAAACGTGGCCGAGCAGTTAGAACGTTATATATATATATATATATATATATATGAATAAAGACAAAAGGAAAACTTATCTTACCCAACGCGTTTCGTCCTCTGAAAGACGTTATGAAGACAAATTCGAGAATTTTATTTTATATATATATATATATATATATATATATATATATATATATATATATATATATATATATATGTGTGTGTGTGTGTGTGTGTGTGTTTGTTTGTGTGTGTGTGTGTGTGTGTATATTATTATTATTATTATTATTATTATTATTATACTAATAGTAATACCTGATTGGTAAAAAAACTTCGGATAGCATAACTCGTGTCTATCAAAGCAAATTGATACCCGTGGGAAAAAGAAGGAAACATCCAAACAGGGCGAAATAAATCATCCAGTGCCTTAAGATTTTAGTCCAAAGAAAAAACAAAAAACAAGCGATTAATAAAGGTAAAACGTAGAGTGCTCAATATGCTAAGTAGAGAGCTGGGATAAATAAAATAAATCCTAAAGAGCCAGGAACAACCTACCTAGGTTTCACTTAAACTGATCTTCATGGTCGTTGTTCCTTTAGGATTTATTATATATATATATATATATATATATATATATATATATATATATATATATATATATATACAGTAGCGTCCAAAACTAACGGACAAAATTTGAAAACCTAATATTTGTTAGAAATAACAACTGTGAAAAGCTGAAATTTTGACAACTGATAGTCGTTATCATCCATAATAACATACTAAAATTTGAATCATTTGCAAAGGATAGAAAAGAATTATAACAATTATTTATTTATTTTAAAATTTGGAACGTCCAAAAGTAAGGGACAAAATTGAGAAAAACAATGTAAACGGCAAAAAACAATAAAAATACATGTACAATCAATATTTAGTAAATGAGCCCTTGCTCTCAATGACAGCTGCACATCTTCGACTACAAGAACGAATCAGTTCTTGACAATCCTCGATACTAATTTTAGACCATTCTTCTTGAAGCTTCACCCACAAATCCTCCGTGTTAGTGGGATTTCTTTCCATAACTTTCACTCCTAAAGTCTTCCAAAGATTTTCTATTGGATTTAAGTCAGGACTTTGCGGTGGCCAATCCATAATTTCCAAATCTTGCTCGCTAAGGTAACTCATTACCACCTTTGCCTTGTGACATGGGGCATTATCTTGCATAAAGGTAGCCCTATCGAAACTTGAATTCTGTATGATTGGCACAACATGATCTTGAACAATGTTTTTATAGATCTGCGCGTTTACACGAGTTTGTAACCGGACAAGAGGCGTTGTACCTTGGCTAGAAAACATTCCAAATACCATGACGCTTCCGCCCCCAAACTTGACAGTTTTCTTAGTACACTTTGCACTTAATCTTTCACCAATACGTCTCTTTACATTGTTTTTTCCATCATTTCCAAATAAATTAAACTTGCTTTCATCACTGAAAAATACTTTTGCCCAATTTTCATATGTCGAAATTACATCCCTGTTTGCAAACTCTAATCTCTTCTTCTTATTCTTCGAACTAACAAGTGCTTTCTTCCATGGGGTTCGATTAAACAGCCCTATTTCTTGCAGTCGTCTACAAACAGTCTGTCTTGACACATTAACACATGAGGTACTATTCTTAACCCTTTTAATTTTTGTGCAAGACTTAAAACGGTCCTTTAATGACATACGCTGCATTATTCGATCTTCTCTTGCCGAAGTTTTGCGGGGTCTGCCGGTTTTAAAAGCACTAACTATTTTTGCCAGTATCATTGTAGGATTTAACAACCCTGCCTACAACACTCTTGGAACGTTTCACTTTCTCTGAAATCTCTCTAATGGTGTGCTTTTCCTTGTGTAGCTTCACAATAGCTTGTCTCACAGAGTAATCAAGTTTTTGGCGTTTCGCCATGGTGCCGGCTGATGCAACGTTTACAAATGACTAAGTAAGACTTATTCTTTAGAGGAAATCAAAAACTTTGAATATAGCATACTGTTTACATTGTTTTTCTCAATTTTGTCCCTTACTTTTGGACGATCCTATTTTGAAAATAAATAAATAATTGTTATAATTCTTTTTCTATCCTTTGCAAATGATTCAAATTTTAGATGATTATGGATGATAACGACTACCAGTTGTCAAAATTTCAGCTTTTCACAGTTGTTATTTCTAACAAATATTAGGTTTTAAAATTTTGTCCGTTAGTTTTGGACGCTACTGTATATATACCGAGTGTGACAACGAAATTGTCCAAATCGTGTAACAGCATGGGATAATTGTCCATCCCACAAAATGTTTAATATCTTAAAAAACACTAAACTGAGTTTCTTTTTTACGGGTTTTCAGGTAAGACGTTTAGCCAGTAAGATAATTTTAACCATTGCTAAACTACAACGGTTCAAAAAGCTTAACGTTTGACACGTTTTGAGGATTAAGTCGTTCATTTTTCTACCCCCATATCATTTTTGATGATTGACCTGTGAAAATGTTTTCAGACATGAGAAGAGCATTCAGTCTTAGTATAAAATGGTAATCACATGTGCATGCACAATGGTATGGCTTGTTAACACAGATGGTAGTAGATGATATATATATATATATATATATATATATATATATATATATATATATATATATATATATCGTGTGGAACAGCAAAATTGTCCTAATCGTGTAACAGTGTAGGACAATTGTCTATCCCAAAAAATGTTTAATATCTAAAAAAAACACTAAGTTAATTTTCCTACGATATTGTTCAATTTTTTTTTCTCTAGTCTCGTACCATGTACTCTGGTTTTTTTCGTTTTCGGTCCAAGGGTCAGGTAGCATTAACATGCAACGAAAAAAGTTAGTATTCGGCAGTTAAAACTCAATTATTCTAAATTAAAATTTTTTCTTATCCCACCCCTGCCCAGCTATGACTTCATTCATTGTTCTCTGTAATAATTTATGTCAAACCCGGATTTTGTTTAAATAGGAGTATATAGGCACTCTTACAGTTCGGTCCATACGCCTCCTCCTTCTCTTAGACAGGAGTAGACGGTTACTCCTTGTTCCGGGTATAGGAAAGTGTTTCTGGTTTCTTTTCCTCTTCTCAGGCTTTAATACTGTTGCTGTCATGAGTTTCTTGTGATGTATATGGTTGGTGGCAACGTCTCTTCATACTGAAGATACCGGGTGTCAGTTTTCTGGTTGCTGTTCCCGACTGGTAATTAGGTGTCCGAACTCTTGCGTAGCGTCTTCAGAGGCTGCTCTGATCAACAGTCGCATAATATCGGGGTTCTTGCAGTGTCATATCGCACATGGAAGGGTGTCCTTGCAAGCACCTCCAGTGGGCAACCCCGAGATCACACTATGTTGCAGTCTGATGCATTTCCCTTCTGCATATGTCACAACAAATAACCGACTTATACTACTACCTTAGGTCTTCTCCTTACCAATATAACACATCATGACTATAAACAAACATATAAACCTTAACCCGGTCGATAAAAATCACCTAAACACATTAACCTTTCTTTCTCAACATTCGTGGTATTCGGAACAACTTCTGCAAAATTTTCGAAAAGTCTCCTATCCTTTCCTCTGGTTCCTGGTTACTTTCCTCTACTTAGAAAGGATTCTAAAGTACACGTGCATGGCCTGGGAGTTTATGTCCGCGAACATCTAGGAACCCGCTCTTGAATCTCCAGACCATTCTTACATGTGTCTCCGTGTCTCTCTACTTAACTCAATCAGCTATCTCTTCTTTCTTTACCGTTCCACTTCCTCTTAAAACTGTTGCGTGCCATATAGTATTTTCGATAATATAGACAAGACCTTTTCCCTACACCTGTTTGCAAATACATTCATGTTCGGAGACTTTAACGCCCATTATACCAGGTGGCTTAAAAACTCTGTCACTGACCTCACTGGTATTTAACTTCTCAATCACTCAATCTCTCATACAAGCGGTTGACTTCCCCGCGTGTTTTCTGATGGAAACGTCCTTCTTCCCGAACTCTGTGATACTTCTATTCATGATTCTTGTACTACGCAGCTCTGACTTCTTGGCAATTCTGATCCCGCTGTAGAATCTGTAAACATCTTCCGCGCCACTCCCTGCCATGACCCCACTATCAACAGAATATCTTTCTGCTATCAACGAGCAGATTGTGGTTCATTCTATGTTTTCCTTCGACACGTCCATTGGAATGTAGGTTTTAATCACCTCATTCAGAAATGCCCGGCTGAGGTCTCCTCCGAGGTGAAAACCAGTATTGATGCCTTCATTCCAGCTAGGAAATACCAAGTTAAACCGCTTTCATCTCCCTGGTTCTCTCCCGCTTGCACGGTCGTTATGGCCCACAGGAAACACTACTTTGGATTGTACCAGGGCGACAAATCCGATTGCAATAGACGTCTCTTTGTCTCTGCTCGTACTGAATGCAAGTGTGTCCTTAATGAAGTCAAATTACTGTTTGCTAACAGAATGAATCAGCGTTTAGCAAGTTAGGTTCAAGATATTATTGGCGGTTCTATAAAAGTGTGCTGAACAATTATAAATCTGCAATCCCTCCTCTATTTAACTAATTCTAAATCCTGACATCTACAGCAGATAAAGCTGAATGCAATGTTCGCAAATTATCATCCAACTCAACACTCGACTAGTCTGGAGTATCCATACCTGATTTCCTCCTTTCTAAATTAGACGCTCATAAGGCAAATGATGAAATACCAGCCGTTGTCTTAAAGAAGTGTGCTCCTGAGCTGGCTCTAGTTCTCTCCAAACTATACAGCTATTGCCTCGATACTTCCTTCCTTCCGGCTAGTTGGAAGTTCTCGTTTCTAGTCCCTGTTTTTAAGAACTCTGGAGAACCAGAATCCTCTAAATACCACCCTATTAGTCTCCTACAGCTTTTCGGCAAAATCTTCGAGGGGTTAAGTATCTTATCTCTCAAGACCTACTCTCTGCCAAACAATATATGCCCGGTCTACCGCTGATCTGATCACGGCCATAACTGAATATATATATATATATATATATATATATATATATATATATATATATATATATATATCATGCTGTTGATAAAAGCGGCAAAGCTCGAGCTATGGCTCTAGATATACCAAAGGCGTTTGACAGAGACTGGCATTCTGGTCTTTTGCGTAAGCTTCAGAGCTACGGTGTTGCGAGACAACTATCTGATTTAATCCAATGATTCCTTTCAAATTATGAAATGAAGGTTGTTCTAAACGGGCAACGCTTCCCGATCCTTCTTTATGAATGTGGGGTTCTGCTAAAGCTGTATCCTGGGCCCTACACTATTTCTGTTCTTCATTAATAATCTCCCTGATGTCATCAGCTACCTAGGTAGGCACATATGCAGATTCCACTACGATTTACTTATGTCTCAACAGTAAACCCGTGAGGGCTGACAATGTCAACCTGGCCACTGATCTTGAAAAAGACCTTCAATCAGTGGTTAACTGGAGTAGGATATGGCTTGCAAATGTTAATGACTCCAAAACTGCTCTCATTTAGCCACGCAGAGATAATTCTTTGCCCGCCATTAGCATGGTTGATGCTAGACTCCAGAAGTGTCTCTCTCTGTGCCTTCTTGGGCTTACACTTTTGACTGACTTGAAGTGGAACAAATAATTGAATAGAATAAACCGCGGCATCTACTGCAAGGAAAGTTGGTTCACTGTGTCGCGCCAGAAGGTTTTTCTCGTCAGGGTCAGTCTTACATAACTACAACTCTATAATTCGTCTGTGCATTGAGTGCTGTTGCCATATCTGGTATGGTACCCTAGCTTTTCATCTAGAGGTTCTCGATAAAATCTAAAAAACTTATTTTCAACGAGAATTTTTCTGAATTGTGAATGTGAACAGGTATGTTGTTGTGAATGTTTAGAAATATTAGACGTGTTATTCAGGTGAAGACTTAGCCTAAATGAAAGCTTGTTGTTGTGCGTCCGACACACACACACACACACATATATATATATATATATATGTATAAAGGTATGCTATACTTATGGGTAATATATCAGGAATAGAGCGTATGTAAATATAAAAGTTGACACTGAAATCAACTTCGAGTGGGAACAGGTGATTGACTATATATATATATATATATATATATATATATATGTGTGTGTGTGTGTGTGTGTGTGTGTGTGTGTATGTGTATTGTAATAAAAAGAAAGAACAGTAAGATATATAAAGCGGTGTTCGTATTGATATTTTTTTCAAAACAGTTCTCAGTGTAAATTTACAGAGCATAAATATTATAAATTAACTGATTTCAAATATGGTTTCTTCGCTACACAAGAATTACCATGTTTCAAAAACCGAAGCTAAAAACTTCAAATTTAATTATATAATTAAATTAACAGCATTAGTTCTGTTTCATCTTCAAGCGAATTTTGGAATAACTTATTTGTAAATTTACTGAGTTTAAACGCACACCGCTACCCTCATCCTTTCTTCTATCGCTCCTATCTGATCTGGCTCTAAATTTTCTGTAAACCCTTGCGTCCTAGTGGCTTCCCGCCTTGCTTGGGGTGAAATGCTTAAAAAAAAAAAATTCATATTTTTTTCCAAGGATACAGAGAAATTCAATGATTTAGACAGGGGCGGTAGCGTGTTCATTTTTATTAACTATTGTTGTATCAATTATGAGTTACGTTCGAAAATGAGGTTAAGTCTAGGGAAGGTAGGGTTGCATATATATGTATATATATATATATATATATATATATATATATATATGTGTGTGTGTGTGTGTGTGTGTGTGTTTTTAGGAGATCACAATAACAACATGTAAGAATCGCTACACAATTGCAGTCGTGTTTCAACACATAACGATGCGTCTCCTCAGACGATTATAAATTACTGGTGAGTGAACGATTAATTTAGTTTCAAAAGCAAAATACACCCTTGAATACTTGAACGCCATATTGGGCCTCTCAGGCATGAAACATATTATCGGCGTTTGTTCTTGATCCCACTGTTCATATTTCCATACATTTTATCTATGAATAAAACTTAAAACTATATTTCTGTCATATATGTGTTTGTGTGTATGTGTGTGAAGAAAGACAAGATGAAAATATTTCTTTGCCGTGTAGAAAACATCGGTATACCTAAACTTTGTTTATAATAATTGTTTTCGAAGGTGCATATATATATATATATATGTATGTGTGTGTGTGTGTGTGTGTGTGTATCAATTGGTGAAACATCCTTACGAGTGAACTGGGCGATTAAAAAAGGTTTCGTCTGCAAAATTCTGAAGTTGTGGTGGTGAATATGACGTCAATAAGTTAAGTGGCAAATTTCATATTTGTATTATTCCTATCCAGAAGCAACAGTTAATACCGTGAGCTGTAAGGTTGGATGTAGGGGTGGTGCAATGAATAATGACTCGGAATTGTTGATTGGAGAGCGGAGTTCAAAATCCAGTCGGGTTTGTTATATTCACTTATGTGCATAATATACTTGGGAAAGGTATGAATGAACCTC